AAACCACCCTTGGTGGACCCCTTTTTGGTTGTAAACCCCTTAGGGGATTCCTTTTTGAGCGTAAACCCTTGTCTGAACCCATTATGACCGTGAACCTCTTCCAATTCAATGTGTTTACGGTGATTGCAAGCTGTAATGCATAAAGTCCCAAGGCAAATCCCAGTAAAACATACATTAACCCTTAGTAATTTGGGATTACCCATAAGTAGTCAAAGCAAACAACCCATCCAATTCTTATCCCCATATGATAGAGCGTAAACCTCATTTCTCCATTCACAACTTCATTTCCACTTCTGTGAATTCTCCGTAAACCCTCCCAAGCATTCAACCAAGTTCTAGGAACCATTTTTCCTCACAATTCTTCCTTTGGTAAGTAAATTATGCCTAGTTAAATGATTCATACATTTATTCATTTTAAATCTTCTACTCACATATAAATTTATGTGTTCATAACCTTATGCTAGCAAATCCTCAAGAAGTTCATCCAACATATCAAGTGTTCTAGGCTCCAATTTCTCACCTCATCTCTTCACCCACACATTCTCCTACCCAATGTGAGCTTCATACCCCTATTTTTGAGCTTTTCATTGTTTTTTGGGGGAGGATGCAAGTCAAAGCCTTGTTTAAATCTTGATATATTTGCTTGTTATGCATGTATGCTAAGTTATATGTGCTAAACTTATGAATACTCCCTATGAAATTGTCCAAGAACTCGAAATCTTGTGCATGTCTCAAGAGCTTGAACCATATTTTACAAATTGTGTATGGAACCAAGAACTATAATGTTACGAAAATATAAGTCACAAATTGTTATGACAAGAACCATAAGGATTGCTTCAAAATTTGCTTAAACAAGTTGTTGGACAAAATATTTTGGAAGTGGTTAAATTATGGAAATAATAATATTTTGGGGACCATTTTCGGCCATAAGTATATATATAAGGATCATTTTGGAACATGAGATAAATTAGAGTAATTATTGAACATCTCAATTTCTAAAGGACCAAAAATGAAATTTTTGGATAAACAAGGGCCTTTTTAAACATTTTCTTAAATATAAGTCTAAAATGAGCATTTTTTAAGAAATGGGCCAATTTCAACAATTCACATAGTTTTGAACCACTTATGACACCTTTTGGCAAATATGGGTCTTATTTGATAATTTATAGAAAGAAGGGTCATTTTTGCCAATATCGATATTACTGGGTCATTTTTGACAAATATGATTCAAAGTGAATTATTTTCAAACGAAAATGATATATCTAGTTAACGAGCACAACTATTTTTATTTATTTAATAAATAACGGATTTCAATGATTTGCACAAATATATGTTAGTATTCTAGTCAGCCGCATCTTCGTTGTACCTATATATATTAGTGTACATTTAAAGTCCTGTAAGAGTTATAACCAGAGTCTCCTGGAGGGAGAGCGGAAATTTGTGTATAGATCTATACGAGGTTGACACCCCACACATTCGTTGTTCGCTACAGCTAGACCGGCCAGTCTAGGGTGACAAATGTCTTAAACGAAACCAACGCCTGAAGAACGTTAGGACAGACACTCCGTCATATTAGTATGGTTATAGCGACTCACTTAGAATATAACGGTATTATTTAGAAATTTACGCAAGTTACACCTTTCGATTATAAACAACTATTGTTTGGATACATTAAACGAAAATTTTACCACACAAGTCTTAGGGTTTTTAAGACTACTATTTTGTACATCAGAAAATATAGGATTTTCTGGGGGAAAACGATTTTATACGATTTCGAAAACGATAAACTAAAATACACATGCAACTATACTAGATTGGAAACAAGACTTACAACTATTTCGACAAGAAAATATTGGATTTTTTGGTTTTCTAACTATCACAGATTTTTATACAAAATGCTTATGAACTCACCAACATATTTTATGTTGACGTTTTTCAAACGACTTGTATTCTTAGGAAATCAGTAAGCAGATTAGTGGAATGCGGATGCAGGATTATTTTGATGTAGTTTGGAATTTACTCACTATTGTCTCTTTTGTGTATTTTGAGAACATAAACATGATGTAAAACAATATAAGTTTGATATCTTGATGTATGATGTTTGGATTTGCTATGTTACATTTATATTCAATTGTTATGATACCGCACAATGACGTCACCTGCCTCCGAACGTTTTCGCCGTTCTGGTTCGGGGGTGTGACATGTTTTTTCCTAACAATCGAATGATCTTGATTTTGATTTTTGTGCCGTATACTCCTAAGCTGAAATATTAGAAAAATCATAACTTCATTTTATGAAGTTAGATTTAGGCGTTCTTTATATGCACGAAATCCTTGCTACATATACTATAACTTTGGTTAAAATTATTTATCATAAATAATCTTCTATCAAAAAATCAATTTTTAACGCCTTTTATATTCAAATTCAATACCCCGAATCTGCGGTTGTTACACCTACGTACCATCCACCTCCATCCACGACTCACTCCATGTACACTTATGCCAAAAGTGGCATTCCTAAACATTACCTTAATCTACACACCATTACTAAATCACCATTCCACAATCCTATCTTTATGCCCTTAATGTATCAAATTAGACAATTGACCTGCAATATGAATTTAATGCTCTTATTGGTAATGGTATGTGGGAACTTATTCTTAGGCCTTTGTGGGTCGACATTGTTCATTTTATGTATCTTTTTAGAGAGAAGTACAAGGATACTTAATATTTTAACCGTTACAAAGTAAGACTTGTAGCAAATGGTAAACACCATAAACCCAATATTGATTCCCACGAGAATTTTTGTCTGTGACAAAGTGGCCATAAGCCAACTTCAAGCTCTTCATGTGCTCTCTCGTCTTTAGTATATTAATATCTTCATAAAAGGCCTATCCACGTGTCTTTTGACTGACTTCAGAGGTAGTTTTGATGTTTGATCTCAACCTCATGCATAAACTGCAAAGACGTATTAGTGTTGTATAAATATACCCTTATGTATGTAAATGTATTAATCTAGCCTACTTATATTGCAATATGTATTTAATTTCCTTTCAACGAGAAACTAATTATAAAAGTATTCTAGACTTACAATAGTAATTGAGTAAATTACATAAAATTTTCATATGGTTCGAGCTAATTTGCAAGTTTCGTCATTATTTTTGTTTTTTCACTCGGATTATTCATATAGTTTTCTTTTGTTGTAGATTTTGTCCCTAAGAGACCCAACATGATTGCATTGCCCTTTTCTACTTATTTTTTTATAATTTTTTTATAAATTTTATAATTGTAATAAATAACAAGGCCTCACCCTTGTCTATATGAATTATCTATCAGTGACATCTCCCTTAACCACTTCTCTTATTAGCAACCAAGAAAGAACTATTAGATAACTTCATGTTTAGATCTAGTTGTTTAGTTCAACTAGATGTCTTTTTTTTCTAAAAATGATGCAAATACCTAGAAGAGTAAATTAGCAAAAGCAACCACATGCATATCAAGTCTTTGATTCTGATTCTGCTCGGATGGAAGCAGAGAAAGGTAGGGACGGGTTGTCCATCCAAGATACACATAACGTAATGACCCAAATTTTCATGTATCGCAAGGAATGAAAAGTGCAAATTTAAACTAACGAGTGATGAAACATGAAACTTTTAACCAAACAAAAGATGGTTCAAGTTAATTTTTGAAAAGAAGAATTAAACGTGTCTTTTGACATCACACAATGGACGATTGATGTAATTTACTCTAATACAAATAAATATAAATAATAAATATTCTATAATAAATAATTTTTTTTGTCACATGTCATATTCTCATCATTTTGTTATATGTTATTTTATGATTATTTTAAATTAAATTTTTTCCACATATGGTTTGATATATTTTTTTTCTATTTTATTAAATTTCGAATAGTATTAAAATATAGAGTTTAGGTCATTTTTGGCCACTTAACTTTTGGTTTTGTGTTCATTTGGTCACTTAACTATTTTTAAGTTTTAAAAGGTCATCAAACTTTTGACTTTGTGCTCATTTAGTCACTTAACTTTTGGTTTGGTCACATTTAGTCACCTAACTTTTAAATTTATGATCATTTAGTCACCAAACTTTTAAAATTGTGCTTATTTAGTCACTAAACTTTTAAATTTTTTTAAAAGCTTAGTGACTAAATAAGCACAATTTTAAAAGTTTGATGACTAAATATGACCAAAACAAAAGTTAAGCGACTAAATGAGTATAAAACCAAAACTTTGATGACCTTTTAAAACTTAAAAAGAGTTAAGTGACAAAATAAGTATAAAACCAAAAATAAGTGACCATGACCTAAACCCTAAAATATAATAAACATATATCATTTCTATTAATACAACTTCTTTTTGAATTTCAAAAATTTTATATTATATTAAAGTCCTGTCATTTTTTTTAATTTTTTTATTAAAATTAAGAAAAATGAAGATTTCAATTTTATAATATCATTTTTTTTCGATCTATGGATAGTTTGTGAATAAAATACGGTGTATCTCACGAGTCACGTCACGAGTTCAAAATGAAGTCGGTCCTTACCAACCCGCCAATCGCCATGGAACTATAACGCAGTAACACAGGCGTTTGGGAATTCGGTAATCATCCCCTAATTCGTTCTATCCAGTATCCACATTGTTTGAATCACGTTTCCTCTCTTGCTCTTTCAGGTGATTCTTATTAGCTCAATATGTTCTTTGATTAGCTTTTCTCTACTATACTCTGTTTTCGTATTTCTCGTCCAGAAACTGAAACATAGGAAGATTTCAGTAGTTAATTAGGGTTTTCTTTTAGAAAATTGAACTGGTTTTGCTAATTAATGGATCAAATCGGAACCAGTACGACTCTATCACAGTCCTTAGTGTGTGTTTCATGCGTGGTTCTAATACTGGCTGGAATTATGGTATGAATGCAATTTCTGATTGCAGGAAAGGGATTTTGATACATCTATCTTATTCTGTTTGAATTTTCGATGGGAAGATGAACACGGAGCTGTTGGAGATTCAACCTGAAGAAGTTAAGTTCATATGTAAGCTGATTCTTCTCTCTTATTTTTATTTGCTTTCATGCTAGATCTGCTAGAAGCTAAAGTTGATACATGAAACTTAATGGTTATAGAGGGAATAGAAGTATATTACGTGTTCAGATGCACCAAGCAATGTAGACTCATTCTGTACGCGGATTTAATGTGGCCTTGCCAATAAAGGAAAGTTAAATATGTACTATGAAACCACAAAACCGTTGCCTTACCCATGGTAGATGAAGCAAAACATTCAACTTTTTTGATGGTCTATGATGAAAGTCACAAAGTCTGTGGGTCAATGATACCGATTGTCAGTGAAGACAGTTATAGCAGTTATTGGTTGCAAAAACTAGGTCTTATCATATCTGTTACATTTTTTTTGAAGAAACATCATAATCTTGTTGTAATTCATGATCTTGCCAAAAGTTAGAACTAACAAATTTATGAGTTTGTTTCAACTAAAAGTGATCATACTCATTTTAACTACAATCAATGTATTGACATCTTGATAACCTATTCAATCAAGCATGTATCAGCATTCTAATTCAATCATCAATTTGATCATTCAATTAGACATATACCCATTCTCTAATACCATATTTTGTAACTCCACTCAAGGAGATAGGTGAAAACAACATTCATTAGTCATGCTTATATACATTTTCTTTTAATATGCACACATTGATTTTTGTGGGTGCCTGTCCTATTACATGGCTAAGTCTATTACAAATACAGGTCTACAGTTCATTATTTTATATATAAGAATGTGCTAATGCTAACTCATAATGTTCTTATTCTCCATTTCACATTAGTTGAATTCCAGAAACAAAGCTCATGTTGTATTCGACTGACAAATAGATCTGATCACCATGTTGCTTTTAAGGTCCTAACCTTATTCCCAATATCTAATCTCAATCTTATCTCTAAAGATTTGATATCTCATAACATCAGATTTATCTTTATCCACCTGAAGTAAATTTCTTGTCAGGTTAAAACCACATCTGCAAAGAAATACTGTGTCAGACCACATACCGGAATCATTAAGCCAAATTTAACATGCTCTTTCACAGGTATAAATATAATCTTTATTTTTCAAAATTTGGTGTTGGAATTTGGATGCTACTGATTTGCTGATAATCTTTTTCACAGTTACTATGCAAGCACAAAATGCAGTGCCTTCTGATTTTGTAAGCAAGGACAAGTTCTTGATTCAAAGTACAATTGTTCCCAAGGGGACAAAAGAGGAGCATATCACATCTACAACGGTTGGTATAACTATAAATGAAGACGTTGGTTTGAATTAGAAAGTTGATTCTTTTATCTGATTTATTTAATCTTTTTAGTTTTCTAAAGAGGAAGGAAAGCATATTGAGGAAAAGAGGCTTCAAGTGATCCTTGTTAGTCCACCCTCCTCACCTGTATTGTCTCCAATGAATGAGATATCAAGGATAAGGCCATATAATGCATCCCCAGAATCAAATGATGATTTTGCTCAAAGATATAGCTGTTATGCACCTGTAAGAGCTTTCAGCTGTGTTACTTAATTTGTAATTATAGAGAATTGAAATGGTGTTGATGATTACTAATTATTTTGAAACTTATGAAAGGTTGAGGAGGGAATAGAGGTGTCAAAAACTAGAAAGAGTGTTTGTGTAGTGGCAATGAAGAATGAGAAATCTTTAGCAAGGAAGCATACAGAAGAGCTGAGATTATCAAATGATGTGGAAGAGATGAAGTCAAAACTCAGAGAACTTGAGTCACTGCTTCGACAGGTCAGCATGTTGTTTTGTATTTGGTTGGATGGAATGGAATCACTCATTACATTCCATGACCATGTTTGGTTTAATTGACTGGAATGGATAATTTTTGCAGGAAAAGCTTAGAAATAATCAAAACACAAGAACAAAAGGGCAGATTGGATTCCAATTCCTGTTTGTTGTTGTGGTGGGACTTTCTGGGCTTTACCTTGGATACATGTTGAAGTCTTAACAGGTTAGTGTCTATATGTGTGATTTTCTATCTTGTTTACACTAGTATATTTCGAATGACTCTTTTACCCCTGCCATAAAAACTGCCACTTTTGAGTTTTGACTGATTGTGGATTTTGATAGAAATTGAAAGACCAAATTTACTTTCGTTACTATTAAGATTGAAGTTTATTTATTTCGTTTATCTATACATGCTAAGTTTTTTTTTTTGGGTCATTGTAAAGATAGATGTCTTGCACCATTTTGGTGTAACATAAAATTTGGTGTTATGTTATTCATTTACACCAACATGGTGTAGTAACATATTTTATAATAAATTATGATTGACATGTGTCTTACAATATAAACAGTAATAAAACATGCAGTTAACCTGTATATATTACAATGGAAATCTACTGAAAATTGACATTTGAAAATACTATTAGTTTGATAAATGTTGTTTTATTAAAACTAATTATTTGATTTTGTTTTTTTGAACGATCGAATTTATTAACATTAGCAAGAAGATTAAAAAAAAAAAAAAAAGAAGCAATTATAAAGAATTAAAAAGATAAAATTGGGTTTTGTAACAAAGAAATCAGTTAACTTTAAGTTTGACACTTGTATGAACTATCATCAATTGACTCTCGGCTCATTTTGATCCAAACATCAAAGCATTCATATATAAGATTCAATCTAGTAGCTACCAGATTAAAAAGAATCATCTAAGCAAGAATATTGTTTTTTGGTTTGACACTAATATATTCGATATCGTAGCCTCACTTGTAGACCCGTTCGTTAGGGCTAATTCTAGGATTTATAAAAATAATTAAACAAAATAAATAAATAATGAAGATAATAAAAATAAAAATTAAATGGTTAAGTAGAAGTCAAAGTTTAGAAATTTGAGTTGACTCGGCTAACAACTATAAGGTTCTTGATATTATTAGGAACATGATAAATTTGGTGTAGGCAGAATGGGAAATTTAGGGAAGATGTGATAGTGTTGCCATGACCTAGGACATGAGTACCATTACCAACGAGAATATATTTATTTTTATTAAAACAAAAGAAGTCTTAGAGTTTACCTGCATCACTTTTCAAGTGAGATGTGGACCCATATCCATGTATAAGGAAGGCAATACGTACCACGGAGAACCAACCAACACGTTACCAACCGAACCAATAAAATTGGTAGCCAACTTTTTTGGTAACCAATATATTTGGCTGGTAATACCATACCAATTAAGTAATCTTGGTATGGTAACGGTATGAAATTTTGGATACCACGGTTCTACCGTACCAACCAATATATATATATATATATATATATATATATATATATATATATATATATATATATAT